GTGTGTGTGTGTGTGTGTGTGTGTGTGTGTGTGTGTGTGTGTGTGTGTGTGACACCGCACAGCTTTAATCCCACAAACTTTGGACCCTAGACTTGTTTTCGTCTGCTGTTTGCCTTTTGGGCACAAATTAATATTTATTCTTCAAAAGCTTAGATATAAGCTTATTATCATATGGTTTAAAAACACACGAAAGATCACTTAAATTTAAAATTTATTGATATATTGAAGTGTAGATGTACAAAATTTGAACATTGAAAACGTTTAAATAAAATGTCGAAGTCTGAATTAGATGCAGCAACAAGTTTAGAAAGCGCATGGAAAAACTTGCACCGTGAGTAACGCCGACATCTGTGAAGGTAGCAAAGAAACGAACACCTGCAGTGTAACATAAAGCTGCTACAGATGCAGGTTTTGTCTCTTTTTTTTTGAAGAAAGGACTTGTTTAATTTAGCAAGGCTACATTTTTACTAATAAGAAACATCAGATGCAGTCTAAACTCACTGAAAACATTTGAAGTTGGCAAAATCGCCTTTTAGAACTGCAGTATTTGGACTAAAGTCGCAAACTATCACCAGACATTAAAAGAAAGACAACACAAGGCTGTGTGAAAACGAAGCATCTTCTTTTTGGAATGATGTAGTTTGAATTAAATTTCCTATTTTTATTCTTTATTTATTTTATTTTATTTTATTTTTTTACATTTAATACTTAATACTTATTTAACTTTGCTGTAAAAGGAGACATGTCACACAGAGAGATTCTGACACGCAGGCTCATGAATGTACTTCTTTGAACCCACCTGGAAGGTGGAAAGCAGGGAAGCGACAATCAGCTAACATGAGTGTGTGTGAAGCGTCTCACACGTGAACATTGTGTTGCTTAACTGCAGCTGGCTTACCAAGAGGGTCACACGACTTTAATCTTTTTGTCCCTCGAGAATACAAGAGAGCCATTATCGAGATTTTACAAATTTATGTTTCTCAGGTGGGCTTTACAGAAGAAAAAAAATAAAGCCTCCACACAGGCAAGACGTGACTCCAAAATGAGTGACTGTGAATGTTTCCACTTAATGTGCTGTTCTTTCACCCAAACATAGCAAACTGATGCTTTGCAATGTTAATGATGCTTGTTTGGAGCTGTCACCTCTCAGCTGCAGGATTGCCCTTCTGGCCTGTTTTTTTTTATTTTTATTTTTATTTTTTTTTGGGTGGACTAAGTATGTTCTCCTCATGTTTATTTTTTATTTTTCCCAGGTACTCCAGGTTTATCTCACAGACCAAAAACATGCGTTTTAGGTTCATCGTAACTAAATTGTCACTAAGTGTGGGTGAGAGGGTGAACGGCTGTTTGTGTCATAGACTTGTGACCTGTCCAGGCTGTCCTCCGCCTCTCACACACTGTCTGCTGGATCTGCCTGAATTGAATGGATTGATTTAAAAAAAAAAAACTTTTGTAATTTTTCACCAAAAGAAAAAAAAATTAAAAGAAGTAAAATAGTCACCCCATGTTCATGGTTCTGTTGAAGTGTATTAATGATGAACGTGTCTCGGGTCTTGGCCTTCAGCGGCGTCTTTCTTCCTGACTCTGCTTTGAGGGAACAAACGTGGWGCAGTTTTGATATAATATTAGGACAGCTGCTCGAACCTCTTGACCGTTGGACACGAGGTGTGCGCATGTGACCTGTCTTCACTTACTCTCGTTAGGCAGAGGAGCACATTAGAACTGTGCCGGGGTCTTCGGGGGGAGGGGGACTGACGTTGCCAATCTAAGAGGACTTCTGGGAGTTAAGAGAGACAAGCTCGAACTTCCGGAGCCGTAAATGCAAATGGCAGCGAACGCGCGGCACCGCCGGAATCGAACAGGATCGAGAGGGTGGAAAGTGTCGAAATAAAGCTGAAAGAGCGGTGACAGAATATTTGCAAGTGAGCAGCAGAGTGACATTTGAGAATGCTGCCAACTGGAGGAGCCCTCGCAGCTCCACCTGTCTTTATTCATGCAAACACAACTGAGCTACGGAGAAAGGATCRGTTCATTTAAAACCTCTTCCTCCAATTTAGTTTCTTCCTGTCTGTTCATTTTATGTAACATTTGATTTTATTTGTAGATTATGTGGCTAAGAAAAGGAAAAAAAGAAAAAATAACACAAAACGTTATGCGCTTAGAATAGAACAGAATAGAATAGAATAGAATAGAATAGAATAGAATAGAATAGAATAGAATAGAATAGAATAGAATAGAATAGAATAGAATAGAATAGAATAGAATAGAATAGAATAGAATGCAAAAACTGTCCATCTAACCAAGTTTTAAAATTTTATATCCAGCAAAAAAGTCTTTTTGATCTTGTTTTGAATGATTTACTAAAGAAGAACTGATTGTGTAAGATTAATAATCTTGTTTTCAGAATGTTTTCAGATTATTTGTCTTGTTAGTCTGAAAATTTGACTCAAATTGTCACAAATTTCAGCCAATGGAGTAAGAAAATTTTTACTTGGTAAGATTGTTGAAATAAGAAAAAAATGAGTCAAATCAAGTATTTCAAGAATCTTACCAAGTAAAATTTTCTTACTCCAGTGGCAGAAATTTGTGACTTAATTTGAGTCAAATTTTCAAACTAACAAGACAAATAATCTTACATATTCTGAAAACAAGATTATTATTCTTACGCAATCAGTTCTTGTTTAGTAAATCATTCAAAACAAGATGAAAAAGACTTTTTGGCTGGATGTAAGATTTTAAAACCTGGTAAGAYGGACAGTTTATAGAATAGAATTTTAATGAAAGTGGAAATTTTCCTCTGGCTCACCAGACATATAATACACTAAAAAATACTAATGTTAAAAATATTAAGCACAACACACAAGTTCATAAAAACACATTCGTGCAATAAATCCGCTATGCCATATCATCTTCATATTTGATCAATTTAAAGATGTTATCATTTAAAACAAACTCATTTGTGATTAAAGAAAAAGAGCGAGGGAGAAATAATGCTTCCTTGTGGGCAGCCAGTCCCACACTCTTGACAACATATAATTAAAATAAACTCTCTGGAGGTGATGACAGAACATTTAAAATCAAATATTTAATATTTGTTAACAGAGCTAGGGTAATTATGTGTTTTGTAATTTATCCATGCAAACAGTCATTACTGCTCAAGTTTTATACCAAGATCATTTAATGTTGAGAAAAGATGGAGCTGTAGTGAAAACGATGTTATTTGTGAGCTTGTGCAGTTTTGTGAAATAGCCTCAGTTTGGTGTAAATGACTCATCTAATATCATATTTGATTTA